CCTTCTGATGCATGCACAATGGCTTCATTGGCAGCAATTTGGCTTTTCTTCTTGGCCATCTGGTTGGACACTTCTATGGCCACACTGGCTTGGATCTTGTTCAGATCTGGTCCAATGGCCAATATGTTGGCCCCTTTGTGGTGGCAATCATAGTGGGGCAGCACGGCACCACCTCTATTGAGTGGATGGACCAAGAGCTGGGTGGGCTTCAAGGTCTGCTGGTACATCAAGCCATTCTCTTGGAGCTTCTGCTGGATCTGCATCCACTTGGTGCCAATTGGCATGCTGGGGTCATCCTTGACCTTGGCGATGAACTTCTGCAGATTTTGGTCCATGGCAGCACAAAGGCAAATTGGTCTGGCTATCTAACAAAAGGTGACACATTTTCAACAATGAAATTTGCAATGGCATCACATTGTGGCATGCCATGCATGTTGTACACATGTGAACATTTGGAAAGCATTGGTGGCTTTGGAAGCACCAATGCCACTTGGAGCAACATACAGCTGGACCAACTGAAGCTACATGTGAGCATTTGGAAGCACCAAGTGCTATAGCTGCTGCCATTGGAGCAACATGCAGCTGAACCTTAACTTTTGAAAAGCATTGTCTGCAGTACACATGCATGTGAGCATTTGGAAAGCATTGGCTGCTTTGGAAGCACTGTGTGCTAAGTCTATAAAGAAACAAAGTGGGAAAATGTTTCAATGGAAGCACTATGTGCTGAATGCATGCACATGCCTTTGCACATGAATAAATGCTTGGCTTTGCAACATGGAAAACATGTTTCTGCTGCACACAGAAAGCAGTGGCAATATTTTTTTCTTCTGGAATGCTGTGCTGCAAGATGATGTTGCCAGGACAATCACAAGGAAAACACAAAAAAAAACACAACGCAACCACCAAAGGCTAAATGAGCTAAGTTGGCTAAGATTTTAGCCCACTTATCAATCTTAGGTTAAATCTTAGCTAAGGTTGTTAAATTGGCTAAAAGCTTACAAGCATTTAACAATACTTTAGCAAGGATGTAACAACATACCAGCTTTGCTTTAACATGCATCTAGCTAAGATGGATAAAGCTCTTAAACCGCTAGCAAGGAAGGGTCCTTCTCAAGCATGTTGATGCCAGAAACTAAATCGCACCATTTCGAGTGTTGAAAGGATCGGAAGCGACTGTTTTAGCCCTCCAGCAAAGCATGACACTAGGGTCTGAAGCAAAGAGCTACAACGTATCCAACGACTTGGATGCATAGAGCATCATAGAGCGGAATGGCGGCTGGCACGACAGTGTTTCACAACTAATTACCATTGACTGAGATAAGCCAACATCCAGAGGACCATGATATGGTCAGAGAGCCGTGTTGTGAAAATTTGTGAAATATTGCACACAACGTGTTTACGCATTTTGCACATTTGGCACGTTTGTGAGGTGATGCTAGAGGTGCAAGCACAGATGGGTGAGTATGCGCAGCTTAGGGGTGCTTGAGCCCGACCTGGCGCAGCCACTCAAAAAACGGCAAGAGCATCATACCGAATCATACCGCATCGATATTTGTTTCTTTGTGAGAACTCGTTTGGTCCTATGGATGCGTCAAACCTGCTATTCTGAATGAATCATGCTGAATCTGCATTCTGCATAGATTCTTGTCAGTAGGTTTGACACATTTTGTAGGATCGGTTTCTTATGGCAAATGCATGGGTTCCTCCAGGTGATAACATGGCTCACTGGGCATCACTCTTCTACAGCGATGAATTCCGATATATTCCGATGGTTTCAGATGTCATGGCGGCATTTTGAGTCTCTCACAGTGGCTGAATCACCTTCTCTGCAGCCGTGTTCCTTCTGTCAAGCGACTGGTTGCGGAGCCATAGAACAGAGTGCTGTCCTCAACGCAGACTATTGATTGGTGTATATTGCCGTTCACCGATATCCAGCAAATGAGAGATTAATTACCCCAAATCATATAAATCACGAGGAAGATGAGGAAGCAAATGTAGCAAAAAATTCCTCAAAGCGCTGGCGTCAAGTTCTTTCAAAGCACACGAGCCAGCTGCATGAGTTGAGCGAAGACGCGCCAGTGGGGAGGCTGGAACCCGTCAAGAGACTTAATCTGAATGTTGAATCATGCAAAGCATCCTGTATGGAAAGCCGAACCTGCAAAACGAGATGTTGCGGCGTGTATTGATTGAAACTTAGGCAAGCGAGGACTGCGGCAAATTCAACAGGAATCAATACTACTACATTACACAAATCAAACATTGAAATATAATTTGCGACGCCTTCTGCATATATCCCGCCCTGCAGAGTAAGGTGCTGAGCGACAGCGCCTGAGATCTTTTTGGAGGTGTGCCATTGTCAGACAAACTGCGACAGTTTTCCAGAGATCAGAGCTATTACTTGTTTGACTAACCATTTAGAGCCCACATGTGCAAGCAACGTGCTTGGAAAACAGACGCGACAGAGTCGGAAGATTCAGAAGTGCAAAGATGCTGGGGAAAATGGGTGCATCACTTTCTGAACGCCAGGCCTTAGAGTACGTCGAACCTCTCTGGCTGAACAGCTGAACACCGGGCAAGTGAGAATGGCGTGTTTCGCTTAAAATGTGAAAACGTTGCGCAGTTTGCAATGCAGAATCGTGGTGAATCCATGTGAATCCTCGAATTGCCAGGAAATTGTAATGAAATATACGAAACGCTATGAACCTCCTCATCTCACAGGGTTCAACTTGGTTCAACTTGCGACCCATCGCTTCAGCCGTGAATTCCATTTTTTTTAGAGGGATGTTCAAATGCCCTGCATGTCCTGCACTCTTCGAGGTTTGTTGGAATTTGGTACCTGCTATTGACTTCGGAAAATTTCAAATCATGCGCTAGTTGGTTGACCCCATTGTGATCGTTACTTTGCACATTGTTTTGGGACGACTTTGAGCGCATGATACCAAAATCATACTGGGGGTACCCTTTGTGAGCTTCCAAGACAAACGGTAGTAATGATTAGTAATGAGGATCCATGAAGGATCAAGGAAGTCATCTTCCCAATCTGGGGGTCGGAAAGGGGCGCTATTCGAATTGGCTGGTCCATTGGACCCAGAGAAGGGAGAAATCATCTCAAGATGGGCCAACATGTCTGATTTCATCTGATTTCTGTTTCCGAAAACGGGAGGATTTTTTCGCGAGGAAACAGGAAACCATTGGTTTTGAGGGTCTCAAAACTTTGTGAACATCGCATATGATACCTAGGTACAGGATAGATAGAGTTTGTTTTTGTTGGGTTTCAGGTCAATGTGTGCAGCATCCATGAGGAAGGCAGGTGAATTTCGGATTCTACTACATGGGAAATCATTAAAATAGACTCTAGTTGACCCAAAATTGTCCCTGACGTATTTTGGGGTCTAGGTAAACATCAAACATTTGTTCACATGTGGTTTCCCTCTCCTCAGCTGAGGAAATCGGCGACAACAGGACAAGGAAATGCGCAATGTTTCAAACATCAAAATTGGGATAAATTAGGCAGAAACTATTGAGAGCGAATTTGAGGGACCTGCAGGCCGATAGAAGAGTAATTAGACAGGAGACTGTATATAAAGCAATTGACTGAAAACTGCACTCTCGTGTCAAGAGAAGCGCCTATTCCACATCACGGTCCCCAAATGGCCGAACTATTCAGGTTAGTGAAATATTCTAATTTACCCAGAGATATAGATTTATAATAATATTACATCAGAGGATTTTTTCCATGACATGTCACCATGTCACCATGTCACCATGTCACCATGTCCTTTCAGGCCAAGGACATGGAGTCCAGGGCCAAAACGCAAGAGGCTGCCGAAAGCCAAGAGGTGCGGCACCACCATGGGAGGAAATTATGGGAAAATTCACCCGGTACAAGGCAGATTGAAACCACAGACTGGGACCATAGAAATTCAGGATGTTTCATGTGAAACCGGGGGACGGCATCCTGCCACCAGTGAGGCAAGACGGCGTTGCAGAGACAGGCCGAGCATCAGGCGGCGTGGTTGGAAGGCGGTAAGCCAGTTGGAGCTATAGCAATGGGCATCCCAGTCATTCCCAGTCAAAAAAAGTGAGCCAGTTGGAGCTATAGCAGCTATAGTCAGAGTTTCCCAGCCTGATAGAATGGTCGAAGGGAAAATGATTATCAACCGTGATTCGAGGTGCCCAGGTGCCCTGTTTTCAGACAAAGCCATATCTTGCAACCGTCAGGAACCATTATGTCAAAGAGATTAGATCAGTGATCTTGATATCTTGTAAAGCAACTGACTGCCCAAATTCAGTAACTGCTGGTCTAGTTGAACTCGCAATACACATCAGTGTAGAGTGGTCGACGCACATATATATTGATGACCCTCCAACAACCCTATATGTTGATGCGCATATTCCTATCACAAATTTGAAAGCCTCAAATGCTCCATCTTCCACATACCTAAGAGGCTTTCAAACCAACCCCCCAAAGTGATTGTGTCAAATCATCCTGGTTTCCTTACTTTGTGTCTCAAAGGTTAGTGGAAGGCTGGAGATTTCTGTATCCACATTGTCAGGGGTTACCCTCTGCTTATTTAACGTAGCGAACTGGAAAATCACCATTTTTAAGAACAGCACATCATCATTTTTATCATATAAGTGGATCATTTTCCATGGCTAAGTTAAATAACCAGATGGCGTATAGAAGTAAGCGAAAACCAACCACTTAGACAACCCAGGGAATTCTCCCTCTTTCACTTGTCATCGCAATATTCATTGAGGTAAGATCTGCAGGAACCCCTAATAATCAATTTGGGCGTAAACACATTGGTTTCGGGCTTTAGCAACCGCAAAAAGATAGAACAAACAAATCTACTCATCCAGTGGCTAGTGGTAAATTGATGTAAATTCTAGTTTTCTATTTGCTTGGGGGTTACTATTTCCCAACAAAACCAGTCCATGATTTCAGAATCCACCAAGTTTTCCACTTCCCAGGCTGCTGAGCTGTGCAGTAGAAGGAAATGGAACAGAAGCAGGTGGCCGGACCCTTTTTTGTGTGCCGGAAGACGTGTTCTTAATATGGGGGATTGATCCTCCAAAAATGCTCGCCAGTGGTTGGAACACAGCGTTTTGGAGCAGTTTCCAGGCACTGAAAAACACCACTGGGATTTCAAGATCGAGAAAGATGATGAAAGATGGGGATGCAGTAAGCAAAAAAGATGGGATGTCAAGCAACCAAGGATCAAGTATGATAGGTTAAAACAAACATGTTTCACCAAGATTTTTTGCTTCTGACATATGATTCCTTAAGATTTGCTGATGATTTTCGGCTCCTTTTCACCAATGGTGCGGTATCCCACCGGGAAAGTTTTTTCAAATGTAGCCCCATGGGATGGTCAAATTTGTACGTGCCACACCAGTGTTTGTTGCTCTGTTTGACAGAAGGGATCTTCAATCTACAACTTGCACTGCATGCGTGTCTATGTGCGCTGCAACGATGCGTCTACCCAGGATTGCAAAGGTTGGAACTGTCCGGGAGCAATTCCGTTGCAATTAATCCATGCACCGTTGGCCGGGTGCAGACGCTACAACAGCTACGATTATTCCGTGTCTTTGGGGCCAACGCACTGCATCTGCGGTGTATGACAGCAAGACAAGATGGGCTACGTGCTTGCTGGGGACGCAGGCTAGTCATGCTTTGCCCAACTGTGTGGTTTCAAAGTGTCCCGGTGGCTGTGCCAGTGACTAATCTGGTTGATGGGGAGGCCATTCACGGATGTGATTTTTAGTCCCATAGGTCTCGTTGGCGTCGTTGGTGTGTTGTCGTCTGTTGCCGTTGACTGCGAACCTTGATGAACCTTGCCAATCTTTGAAGAGCTTGTTGCCCAGCATGGGAAGGCGTGCAATTTGTCGAACTTCAAGTCGATTTAAGTTTGTCTCATTTTGTATATCCTGAGTTCTCATTGGCATGACCGGCATGAGTTTTATTCTTTATAGTCATATTGTTGGTATGACACGAAACCAGTCAGGTTTGGATAACAGAACCAAAATTCATGAAAAGTCCAATGATGTCCAATGTTTGGGGGTTGGCTTTAGCGATCTTCACTTTGTTCTGAATGCTGCATGTCTTGAAAGATTGTGTGCGCTGCAACATGTGCGCTGCAACGACGCGTCCACCCAGGATTGCAAAGGTTGGAACTGTCCGGGAGCAATTCCGTTGCAATTAATCCATGCACCGTTGGCCGGGTGCAGACGCTACAACAGCTACGATTATTCCGTGTCTTTGGGGCCAACGCACTGCATCTGCGGTGTATGACAGCAAGACAAGATGGGCTACGTGCTTGCTGGGGACGCAGGCTAGTCATGCTTTGCCCACTGTGTGGTTTCAAAGTGTCCCGGTGGCTATGCCAGTGACTAATCTGGTTGATGGGGAGGCCATTCACGGATGTGATTTTTAGTCCCATAGGTCTCGTTGGCGTCGTTGGTGTGTTGTCGTCTGTTGCCGTTGACTGCGAACCTTGATGAACCTTGCCAATCTTTGAAGAGCTTGTTGCCAAGCATGGGAAAGCGTGCAATTTGTCGAACTTCAAGTCGATTTAAGTTTGTCTCATTTTGTATATCCTGAGTTCTCATTGGCATGACCGGCATGTGTTTTATTCTTTATAGTCATATTGTTGGTATGACACGAAACCAGTCAGGTTTGGATAACAGAACCAAAATTCATGAAAAATCCAATGATGTCCAATGTTTGGGGGTTGGCTTTAGCGATCTTCACTTTGTTCTGAATGCTGCATGTCTTGAAAGATTGTGTGCGCTGCAACATGTGCGCTGCAACGACGCGTCCACCCAGGATTGCAAAGGTTGGAACTGTCCGGGAGCAATTCCGTTGCAATTAATCCATGCACCGTTGGCCGGGTGCAGACGCTACAACAGCTACGATTATTCCATGTTTGCGGGTTATTTTAAATCATCCCAAAGAACAGGATAAACATGGGTAAACGGTATATCCCATCATAAACCCCAATTGGGAAGAATTTATTTCTTTGGTTTATCCAATTGTACCATAGTTTACCCATGTTTACCCCAATATTTACAGCAGATCACAAAACAGCAATGAATTTGAAGAGGGACAACTTCGATGATCAACGTTGATCCACCAACCATTGGTACAAATAGCAAAACCACATCCTTGACTACCAAAATTTTTGCCTCAAAACATGCTGCTGTAAGGGGTTGCCAGAAGCTCGCTCAAGTCACGGGTGCAGGAGCCATTGTGCAACTAGTAAATTAGTCGTTAGTAGTTGGTTTCTAACCCATTTATACATGTGATAATCCACTTAGGGCACTTACTAACCAGGGTCATTAACCACCTACCAAATGAGATGATCCTCCGAATAGGAATCCCAAGTATTGTTAGACAGACACATCTCAGCAGACACCTGTCATTGTGGAAGCATCGGCAGCCGCAGCCAGCTGGAACCCATATTGATGGCCGCATCCAAAGTGTGGGCTTTGTGGCCCCAGGGTTGAAAATGATGGGAAAACCCTAAGATCCAATGGTTTGTCATCATTTAATCATGTTGCTCATTGAAAATGGAAAACACGAGTATCGATTCACAAGACATAGCTACATATCATATTGGTTCAGAAAGATCCTTTCATATCCAATGACACCCCCATTATATCATATTATATCCCTTAATGTCACAATGTATATCCCTTAAATTTCATTAAATCCTTTCTCGCATTTGGAGGACTTGTCCTGTGAGGGCTACATCCATGATGGTATTGCGCGGATGCTCAGCAGGCGGGATACATCCACTCGCCCTGGCCATAAAACGTTTTGGATGTGCATCCCAGTAAGTGGCTAATAGCCATAATGCAACCCAGTTGTGTATAGAAATATAAGAATATCATCACCAGTTATATAGGCGTTACAAGCCACTTGAGATTCATGGGTCCCGCACCCCCAAATTGCAGATCATGGGCAGTGATGGTTGAGATTGTTGATGGTTGGTATCGATTCACGCTTTCTAATCCGTTCCCCCTAACACTACCCCCCCAAATAATAAACACCTGAGGTAGTTTTTATTATTAGGGGGTATTTCGTATTAGGGTGCGAAGCTTCCCCCTAGTACTAAATTTAAAACCCTAATAGAAAAAAAAACTATTTCAAAATCGATTAGATTTCCTTTTATAATCTGATTAAAATATTGCCAACAATTGGATTTCGAAGCTTCTCCCCTAAAACTAAATAAACAAGGCAACCCTAATAAAAAAACCTAATTTGTTCTATTTCAAAATCGATTAGATTTCCTTTTATAATCTGATTAAAATATTGCCAACAATTGGATTTCGAAGCTTCTCCCTCCCCTAAAACTAAATAAACAACCCTAATAGAAAAACCTAGTTTGTTCTATTTCAAAATCGATTAGATCTTCTTTTAACATCTAGTTAAAATATTGCCAACAATTGGATTTCGAAGCTTTCCCCTAATATTATTAAAAACCCTAATATTTCAAAATCGATTAGATTTGCTTTTAAGCTCTATAATTAAAATATTGCCAAAAATTGGATTTCGAAATTAAATTAAACACCTTAATGCAAAATACTTTGTTTTTCGACCTTAAAAGACGGACCCTAATAAAAAGCACCCCGGGGTTGACTAGTTTCATTATTTCATTAAGGGGGTGAAACCCACAAATGGTAGCTTCATTAAAATTGTTTTCAAAAGGGGATCAATTAAAAGTCAAATTGGCCAACCCCAATTTTTCCAAAATTGGAGACGGACCCCAGGTTTTATTATTTTCGGGGATTATTCCCACAGCTGACCCAGAGATCCCAGAAGGTCTCAGTCAGTTTCATGATTTGGAGCGGTGGACTTGACTAAAGTTCATATTTGTATAGATTTGCCTAAATCATGATGATGTATATGAATATGAGCCTGTCACCGGCCCTCCAGCCCACCCCCAAGATGTGTATTTGTTTATATTTGTTTCATTCTTATTACAATCGAAAATTTATACACATATTTATGATATGTATATATATATATATTAATTTATCACATAGATAGATGTGAGTGTCCTCACCATCTTCGCCGTCCGTTGGCGATGGGTCATGGATTGATCCTTACTCAAAACACTGAGGACTGGCGAAATCTGCGGCGGCGCTTTGAGATCTATGCAGATAAGTCTGGGGCCCATGGCTTTGGCCCATATTTTGCTATCTTTGGCTGATTTTTTGGCTATTTTGTGGTGGTATTCACTGGCTTGGTTTATGGGAAACTCTGCCAAATACAGATTTTTTGGAATTGAATTCTTTTCTGGAATTGAATTGAAATCCCGCTTTGGGAGGTACGGTAGATATGCAGCATTATGCAGCAATGATCTCATGGTAGATATGCAGCACTTGGAACGGCTTAAGTTGCTTAAATTTCTGAACGCTGAGGTATCTGGATCGGCCGCAACTTCTGGCAGAGGTTGGAAAGTCAATGGAAGCCCTGGTGGATGCTGAAGAATGCTGAAGTGAGCTGAAATCTGGACCCTTGAAAATGAACTTGTTTTTTTACATGAATTTGGAGGTTGAAAAATTGATGGCTGATGTTGGGAGCGCCGTTGCCTGCACATGAAAGTTGCACTGAGGGTTCAGATTGCTGTGGGGCGGAACTTTGCTGCTGGAATTGTAGTGGAATCTATAGAGCCAGCAGTGGATTATCCTGGCAACTTGAGGCACTAGGCAAACCTTAGGTGGTGACTAGGTTAGTTGTTTATAGTCCGTATAGCCATTAAGGGTCGCTGGTTTGTCCCAAACCTGTCCTGCAAGCTTTCAAACTATAGGTTTCCTGCAAATTTGCCGGCAGCATCCCAGTCTTCCGAGAAAAATACAAAACTATGGCCCAGAAATACAGTATTTCACGTGTGATGGTCGAGAACATCATTTTCTCTGTTTTATTCAACTGGTCTCATATAGATCTATACATATATATATATATACGCATGCATGCATTTGGGAGAACATCCATCATTTTTTGACAACCCCAAATCAGCTAATTGTCTGTTGTATTTGACATGTTTGATGGTAAATTTGCTATACTTTCTCATCAATCCAAGCCCAAGCCACCCGCGGGTGGAGGAGTTTGAGATGGCAAAGAACTATGCCTTCAGCTACTCTCCAGAGAACAGTTGCATTTTGGGAGACCTGTCCTTGAGGCGCCACGCCTGAGCATGTGAACCGATCAAGTCACGAATATGATCTACGACTCGCAAAATATCGCAAAATGACATATATATATATATATGGTTGGACTTGTCATTAGTACGAGAATGCGTTCCCGTTATTTGTTCATGTTCGTTGCGGTTTCAGCGATTTGTCCAGCACCAGGTTCTTCCTCTGTCTGTGGCTGCGGAGCTGGCAGAGTGTCGAGGGCTCCAAGGGGATGCTCGCCGAGATCATGGAGGAAGGTGGCTGACCCCCATGGTATCATGATATCCGATGGAAGCGGATCACCATGGGGGGGTTTAGTATTGTTTAGGGATGGGATTATACTGGTGGTTTCAAACATGTTTCATTGTCAACCCTAGAAAATGGGAGGATAATCCTAGTAATCAACCACGATGGTTATAAACCATTTCCGAACCGGGATGCACATGCGAGTAAACTATGGTTTAATGAAAACAGGGCACAACCACATCTAATTGTTGAACATCATGTTCTCCATTTAAACGACAGGGACATTTCCCCATGGACAATTCGCCTCTGTCACAAGCTCAAATGGACCAGTGATATCCCTAAGGACCTGAGGATCAGCCATACTGTTTCATCAGTGGGTCATTGAAAAAAGTGGGTCTGAGATGTAATGTATACGTGATTTATAATTATCATATCCCATATACTCATGTATATATACTCAGTGCGTATATGTTGACCTACATGATCTACATGATCGGATCATTTTGGTGGGTAAATTGCAGTATATCAGCACCATTGACTTTTGTCCCTATCTAAGTCAGGTACAAGATAGGCACCCAAGATAGCTGAATTTGTTCAGAACTCCAGTAACCAGGGTTTGTGGTAATTATCCATGGAAGCATGATTAACTAGCAATATCCTTCAATTATCTCCGATACTTCAGTTCAGTGGATGGCAGATAAGATATCCTATAGCTAATGGATGCTAATGGGGTTTTGTTTTCCAACTAGCATTTATTACTGGGGGGGCCAGGCCCACCTTGTAGAAATGAAAGCTGTAGGCTGTGACATGACTGCATTTCGCAGGAGACTTGGAAGTGGTTCTGGGATTTGCCACAGACCTGGCAGGAGTGCTGGGAGACCTTATCTAAGGAAGGAAAATGATCGACATGGATATGTAAAGGGTAAAGAAATGAGCATCACATATACATATATACACAATATGTATATATATATATATGTATGTATATAATATGTTTAATATACATGTAAAAATATACATAGGCAATGCGTACTGATGTTATCTTATTTTAGCATTTTTGGCTCATTTTCTCTTATTAAGATTTTGGATATCCGATGTGAAGTTTAGGGAAGCACCTATCCAGTTGCTGAAGTCCATCTCAACCAGTCAGATTCGGTTGAGATGGATGATCCAATCCATAAAACTATGGGATGTTTTCTCATGGATGGTTGGCCCCACTTTTTTTTTCGTCATGTGAATTTTTGCGGCCACCATCTTTGGCACTTTTCTTGGCAGCCGTTTCTTGAAACGGCTCTTTTTAAAGGGACAAAGGTTGCGAAGGCACAACCACTCCCATGTCCAGCCTGGAGTGCCTCGTTCCTGGATGTTCCTGGCTTGGGTTGGAAGATGTTGTAAACTGTCACAAGACGGGTGTGTCTGATGTATTCGTTAAATATTTAGATGTCAACTTTTTATCGGAACATGATGACAAACCATAGGGTTTTGCGGTACCCTATTCTCACATGAAGCCAGATCAGGTTGTCATTTGAGAATAAGTATTGCATTCACCCCAAATAGAGTAATTAATTCAGATTGTGTCGGCTTGCTCTTCTACAGAACTTTTCATTCATCATGCCAATGGAATACATTATTTAGCTAATACTGGAACAGGGTAAATCGGGTAAATCTTGGAGGGGTGATTGTAATAGGTGAAATGAAGAGCAGTCATTATTTGTATGATGGCCTATGGTTTATGATGTGATTCCTCACAAGTCACCCATGGACGGACATGAAGGACGTGACAATGGTTGGTGAACAGGGACTGTTACAGGTTCACTGCAGGGCTGCTGCCATTTCTATCTCTCTTTTCTTGAGAGAAGCATTTTTGATATGTATAATCAGTACCATCTGGCAATTTAACATAACCTTGGCAAATCAGCATTTTTATAGGTACCTCATCCACAAAAGGGCCATATTCCGTGGCTATCTTAAATTACCAGAGGGTACCGGGAAAGACAATCTTGTATAACTTTACGGATGAGCCCAGACTGGGTCCTTTTGACATGGTTTTTTCAGGCACGAAGTACGACTGAGAGTCCTGAGAGTCAGTGCCACATTTCAAGGATGTTGGATGATCCCAGTGAGCATTTCATACCATTTGGGTGTGTGTGTGTGTGTGAAACTGTTTTTTTCTGAAGAACACAAAATCGCAATGGGGAAGATGATAATTGACGGGGATTTGGGGCTACTGTGACTTAGTTTTGGACAGCCCGCATGTTCAAGGGATCAAAACTACCAACGACGTCCGACAACAGGCACTGTTGATTCACTTGAATCCCCACAGAAATCATCCTGCCGTTGCCAAATCACTCAGGATATATGGTGGTTTCCTAAGTCATGCTGGTACCCCCAAATCCAAGTCGTTAGACCATGGCTTAGTATTGAAGCCCATGGCCATGGTGACTTGGGGATCCCTCATTTTAAGAACCCCCTATATATCATATGTACTATGTATATATTTATAATATATGTATATGTATACAAATGTATAGATATATGTATATACACAGAATGCCAAGTTGGTGTTTATAACCCCCCCAGAAGGTCTAGATCCATGAGAAGGTTTTCACCCCCAAATAATGAGCAGCGAAAGCAAAACATAGGATTCATGAGATTTGGAATGGGATTCATGAGATTTAGGATCAGAAATGCTTTGAATCCATTGGTCTTTCAATGGGATTCATGGGATTTAGTACAAGAAATGCTTTGAATCCATTGTTGTTCCATTGGTTTTCCATTGGGTTTCCATTGGTTTTTGAATCCAAAATTAGGATTTTCCAGAAGGGTGTTGTCTCATAGGGGGTGACCACCCATGTTGATCAATAGGGTGGGACCAACCCAAAGTAGTATTAAAAAAGACGGAATGCGGGTGTTGATTAATTTTGGGGGTGCATATTAATATGAACTTAGCATAACAGTGTATATATATATATGTTGGTGTTCTGCAGCACAGAGATGGTTTGGAATCACTATGATACTATAGATCCTTGGTATTTGGCTGCTCAATGGTACTTGCTACCCCCAGAAAAGCACGAAAACAGTGTTTGGTGTTTTCCCATGTGATACAGACCATGCACTAATCATGTACTATCTTCTGACTGGCCGGCGGTTTCATACGCATATATAATCATCCTGAAGTAGAGACAATATCAAAGTTTCAATCAATCAATCAATATATATATATAAATTATCGAAGGAAGTTTAGAAGTCAAACTTCCGACAATATGGACAGATGAAAAGCAGAGATGGGAAGAGTCAGAGAAAAGAAAAGAAGAAAGAAGATCACAAAAGAGAAAGTCTCAGAAGAAAGAAGATACAGGTGCGCGAAAAGGTAGGAAAGTCACGAAACACTGTGTTTTTCCAATGATTTGTGGCTCTGGAGGGTCGAAAAGTAGGCTCGCTAAAGCGGCGGGTGCGGAGCCAGCTGGCCAGATAAGAGATGAAAAATTGCACGCAGTTGTAGCGCGAAGCACATGTCGAAGTTAAAATGTACAAAACACCTCAGCTCCGGAGCACTTTTAGCAGTTGCGCTGTTGAAAAAGTGCACGCCGTTGTGGCGCGAAGCACATTTCCAAGTGAAAATGTATAAAAAAAACCTCAGCTCCGGACTATCCATACACACACACAGACACTCTTGTTTTTCGCTACTTCAAATGACATGATCCCAATTGATGTATTTTCTTTGCTGGGACACCACCACACACCACCACAATACTGCTTGATTTCAGGGATTCGGCTCAATCAGCCTGAGAATGAGACTGACTCTCGGAAATCGTACCTAGCTGTGTATCACCTGTAGGTGTGTGCTGGTTGAGAACCCCAATAAACTAGTTCGATATATCTACCACAAGCCAATCGAACTGGGCCACCACCTTGTAGGGCATATGTTTTTAGGGGGCTTTTGCAGTTTCAAGTATATAATCTATAAATAATGATGGAAACATTCGAACCACAACAAGTTCTGATAGTTCTGATATTATTTGCCATACCGGGTTCTTTGAAAAAAGCGGCCATCGACCAACACGATTCAACATGCACCGGAATCCCCCGAACCCCCTGTATCAATGTTGCTACCCATTGTTTCTCAATCGCCGGAGCAAGAGAGGCTGTTATTTTTTTGAAGGCTCCGCCAAGCACTGCTTTTACACAACATTGAAA